TCTCCCTCTGCCCCTCCCCTACTCACGCACATCTGTGCATACTCTCTCTCTCTTTCACTCACTCTCTAATAAATAAAAAGAAAGAAAGAAAAAGGACTAGAAGGGGACAGGAGAGAGCTTGGATAGCTATTTTTTTAATGTTTATTTTTATTTATTTTTGAAAGAGAGAGAGAACCCAAATGAGCAGAGTAGGGGCAGCGGGAGAGAGAGAATGCCAAGCAGGCTCAATGCTCGGTGCAGAGTTAGATGTGAGCCTCAATCCCACAAGTGCCAGATCATAACCTGAACCAAGATCAAGAGGCCCACACTTATCCGACTGAGCCACCCAGGCACCCCACAGATGGCTATTTTACTAGTCCAAGGGACAGCAAGTGGTGTCTGCACGAGGAAGGGGGTGGTACGGATGGAGTTATTTTGAAGTTAACATTTCCTTTTTTTAAGTTCATTTATTTATTTTGAGAGAGAAAACACAAGTGGGGGTGGGCAGGCAGAGAGAGGGGAGAGAGAGAATCCCAAACAGGCTCTACATTCTCAGCATGGAGTGCCGTGCAGGGCTCGAACTCCCAAACCATGAGATCATGAGAACCATGAGATCATGACCTGGGCCAAAATCAAGAGTTGGACGCTCAACCAGCTGAGCCACCCAGGTGCCCCTGAAGTTAGCATTTATAGTTCTTGCTGCCCCTCTTGGAAAGAGGGGGAAGAGAGAGAAAGACTCCTAGGTTAGAGCACTTCTACCCACCATGCTTAGAGACACCAGTTCCAAGTATCCGTTAAAGATTAAATATCCTTTTATATCAATTTTATAATTATTTACTGTGTTTTTAGTTGTGTGACTGAATCGCCCACATTTACTTGATAATTAGAGTTGATAATGAGATTGAAAAAAGTCACTCTTATAGCACCACCTTGTGGACAGTAGTGAGAAGTTTTCTCATTGGGTTCAGTAGCCGAGAAAAGACACAACGTTCTGAGAGGCTTACCAGTTATCAGCCGCACCAAGTCCTTCTTGGAAGGAGATGGGATATAAGTACACGCCACAGAATTGCCACAGAATTGAAGTTAAACTGGCTATCAGGAAACTAACTGTCTGGATTTATTCAAACGTGATCCCCTCTGCTTGACTTCAACGTCAAGAGTCATTGACTGAAATACCTTTCATTTAGTTATCACCTGATGGCCACCTCTTTTACCTTATCTGCTCCTTCCCTGCCTCTTTCCTAGGCTCATCTTACCTTACTTGACCACTGACCCTGGAATTTGCTCAGTGTTAGGCCCAGCCATCTTCTTGGTTCATATTCTCCTTTAGGCACGTTTATTCCAAAACCTCATGCTACTTCCCATCAGTGACTCCCAGATGTGTTTCTCTTGTTCAACCTGCTGCTCCTAAGTTCCAGGTCCTTATTTCTAATCCACTGCCCTACCTCTCCAGGTGAATGTTCTATCCAAGACTGAACTTGGGATTTCTTCATCTCCAAATCTGCCATTCTTTTAGTGTTTCCCTGTTCTGTGGCGGCACAGTCTTCCACCAGTTTTCAAATCAGAAACTTGGAAGTCATTCTTGAGTCCTCCCTGTCCCTCCTCTGCCTACCCTTACAATTAATCTCTTAGTCTTGTCCATTTACTGGTAGTTATCTCCTGAGTGGCCCACTTTGGTCTACTTTTTTTTTAAAAAAAATTTGTTTTTAATGTTTTATTTATTTTTGAGACAGAGAGAGACAGAGCGTGAGCAGGGGAGGGGCAGAGAGAGAGAGCGAGACAGGGAATCCGAAGCAGGCTCCAGGCTCAGAGCCCGACGCAGGGCTCAAACTCACAAAGCGCGAGATCATGACCTGAGCCGAAGTCGGACGCTTAACTGACTGAGCCACCCAGGTGCCCCCTCTTTGGTCTACTTTTATCGCCACTGCTCTTCCTGGTCATCTCTTGCTGATACCACAGCTATAGCTTCCTAACTGGTCTCTGCATCCACTCCGGGCTCTCTCCAGCCCATTCTCCACACTGTGGCATTTTTTTCAAAATGCAAATATTACCAGGCCATTTAAAACCTGCCAAGGTTGCCCCTGCCTCATAGTCTGCGATGCCCTGTGGTGGGTCCTTCCCACCCCCACACAAGCTTCTTCACACTCACTCAACACCTTGCTCCTTACACCGCAGCCCCATTAGCTTCTCTGTTCCTCGAGTGCCTTCACCACAGGGATCTGCCCCTGCTCATCCCTCTACACCTCTCCTAGTTATTTCTCCTTAGCTTCCTACCTCAGCTTAACCATCTGTTCTCAGAGAAGCCTTTTCCTGAACTTCCAGGAACTTCTTTATTCTAAGATATTACACATCAGAAATCTCTTCCCACTGAACAGTCACCTCACTTTTCAAGATGACATTCATTAAAGGGGGGTTCTGATTAATGCCATCTCCTCAGAAGAGCCTAAGTGCCATGAGAGAAGAGGGCCCAAGGCTGATTGTGCCCACCATATTTCTCTAGCACCCAGCAGAGTGCCCGGCACATAGGAGATGAAGTTCCCTGGGTGTCTCTGAGGCCCCGAAAAGGCAATTACAACAGTCAACGGTATATATCTGTAGTTTGTGTTACTTACTTGTAAATAAAATCAGGTCCGGGTGTGACTGAAGGCTGCATCTGGCGAGCGTAATGCCAAACCCAGCCAGTGTGAGTGAAGGGAATCTCAGGCTGCCTGCCCTCTGGCCATTTCCCACCTGGCCCCGTGCTACTGGTGAACATGTACTTGAAAAAAATCGTACATACATCTTCTCTAAGAACAAACGCTAATTTTGAGGGTCATACCAGGCCAACACAATATTGAGGCGAAGAAAAGTATTTGTCGTCTTCCAGGGTCATGGTTCTACTATAGATACAGTCAGTTTAGGTAACTATTATTCTCTCTGTCTTCAAGCAAATAGCCTTTTCCTGTATGTCTAAGAAGCTGACAGGACAATTAAAGTCATTTATCTCAAGACACAGAAAGTTCAAAGGTGAACTGAAAGTTCAAAGGTGAACATTTGTAGCTACTTCTAAATAACATTTTCTCCACCTTAAAAAAAAAAAATTAGTGGGTGCCCTGTTTATAGGACAAAATAAAAACTCATTTTCCAACATTGACATGCAAAGTGATTAATACCTTTACATATCAAAATTATTATACCTTTATATACAAAACACAGGTTCTTAATCTTTCCTCTCTTATTTTACTTATTTATAGATTTGTTCCAGGAATAATTTAAGACAGATTACAACACATAAAATACAGCAAAATAACACAAATTTATAAATAAATTAAAAATGCAAAGGCAAAAGAGGATAGGGACCAAAAATAGACTCAGAAATGAGGCCAATTAAAAAATGCCTTGTGTAAGGACTGATACACTTCCAGGCAGTGCTGCTGTTGTCTATACAACAGTCCTCCTGCCCTTCTTCCTTCTACAGAGCCCTGACTCTGTTGTGGTAACAAGGGTCCTGTTCTCAGTCCTAGAAGATGAATTATGATTGACCTAAGAGAGTCATGGATCCCTTGCTGGACCGTTAGAAAAGAATGTCCTTATTGTCTGAGACGCCTTTAGTGAAATCTCTTACTTGTGGCTAGGAGCTTTCTCACGGAGGCACGTGCTATTGTGTTTCATTTGTCTCTAAGCTTTCTAGGAGTCCACTCTAAGAGGGACATTTGGTTAGAAATAACTCAGTATCCATAAAACAAACAAAAAGAAACCCAGGCCTGTACCTAAGGAAAGGCACAACATTGCTAAGACTAAGACAAAATAAAATAAGGGTCTAATAGGATCCACATATTCACCCAGTGTGTTTAAAATCCCACATGAAAACAACAATGTAATAAAGATACTGTAATCAGCAGTCCAAGCCAAATTGGCTTTCTCTTTTGACATAATTTATTATTCACCTTGAAGTTTCATTTTCTCCATGCTCCTTGAGTTAAAATATTATTCTTTGAGCCAAATGAAAGTGCATTTCACAAATTAATTTGGACAATGGGTGCAGAAAAGTTGTTCTTAGCAATCTAACCTTTGGCTTGTGAATACAGAGCCCTAAGTCTATGAGTTGGCAGGCAAGTGGGGTGGGTAGGAAAAAGGTCTAGATGTTTCCCATGTATTTTTTTTTTTCTTTAGAAAGAATACGTTGTATCTTACTCTGTGTAATTCTTCAGAAAACGTGCAGGCATTCAACAGGACAGGGAAAGATCATATCCTAAAAAGGATTGTTTTCCCCTTTTAACAATGACATAAGAAAAGATTCTATTTATATATATAATTACATTTTATCTAGGAATAAGTCTTCTTTCTAAGTTTATCTATTTGTCTGTCTATATATTTATGTTTAGCTTTTAAGGAAAAGAAGCATAGCACTAGTAGAAATAATGTCTTCTTCTGTGTGTTCGGCTTGACTGCTTGAACCCGTAAGTCAACTGTTATAGCTGCCAGACTACCAGGAATAGTCCCTGCTTCAAGCCGAAAAAATCCCATTTACTATTTTAATGACCAGAACTTGCTAATGTGGGCATGTGAAATGTAACCTTGGGAAGGAATGCTCTCCATACCAGGAAGTCTTTGAGAAGGCTTGAGTTCTTGCCATAACTAAAAACCTGATGATGCATTACTGATGACTTCATCCCCAAATGAAAGCTAGCTGCCTGCTTCCATAATCCTCGGGGAGAATCGCACCAACAAAAGGCTAATTTGAAAATAACATAGAGGAGAGACACTTCATTTGCTCTATTGAATAAAATGAAGGAGCCCGTCTATGCAAGTAAAGAGAAGACACCTTGCAGATCTTGTTGTTCTATAGCACTGAAAGCAACTGCAGAGGGCTTAACAGAGGCACAAAAAAAGAAAAAAAGAGAGAAAAAGTTGCTGATGGGGTTTTTCAGTGGGGTTCCCATGAATGAGGACCGTAGAAGGGAAACGGTCTTCCCCCATATTAGGCTTTTATGACAGCAGTTCTGACACCTCAGACATCATTGTGCATACTGGCTGTCTTTTTAGAAAAAGGGAATGGTTCCATTCCAGTTGATGGTGGCTTCTCTCCACTTGGTTCTGATTAGCATCTCCACTGGAGAAAACCGTCTTCCTGCTACATGTCCATCTCCAGGTTGGTTTCTTTCCCAGTGATGGGAGTGAGTATCTGGGTGAGGAACAGCCAGCATTTAGGCCCTCTATGCAGCATTCCAGAGGAAGCCAGGAAGGAAGGGAAACAGGATGGGTGGACAGGAGTTGGGCTCAGCAAGCTATGTTCCTAGACCCGGTTAAACCCAGGGGATTCCAGTAGATGGTCAGTAAAAATGCCCCATACAAAACATGTGTGGTAACATGGGTGGTTGTGTATTTTGGAACATGAATATTGGTAACTCATGAAATGTACATTCCAGCACCATGATGCGACACATAGAGCCAGGTGTAGATCACAGCATGTTGTCCGGAAAACCAGGAAGAGGAGAGCTCCTCACTTCCCAGTGCTTCTAAGAATACGTTTACATTTTTGGGTGAAGGGTGAGGTAGTCCAGTGGGGTAGTCAAGAACTGGGCTCAAGGGCAAGCTTTGTCATATATGACATTTGAGAAGGTACTTAACATCTCTCAGCTTCATTTATTCACTGAGTATTTCTTGGCTACCTCAGTTTCTTCTATGTGAAAATAGATATTCTAGTATCTACCTCATATGACATTTGGGAGAACATAATGGGATTACCTGTAAAGCTTCTAATACAGTGCCCAGAAGAGAATGCTTGCAATGCATGTGAGTTGATACAAAAATGATGCTTTCTTCAAGGAAGAGAGTAAAGTAGACCCAATCATATACAGCAAAACCTTGGATTGGGAGTAACTTGTTCTGCTTGTGTTGCATAAGATGAGCAAACATTTCTAATAAATTTTAACTTGATAAATGAGCGATGTCTTGCAAGATGAGTAGTATGTGATGGCAAACGTCATGTGGTCACCACAGAGCCAATGGTTTCTGAAATTCTGTTTAATATACAAGTGCTTTGGATTATAAGAATGTTTCCAAAATGAATTATGCTCACAAACCAAGGTTTTACTGTATATATTTTTAAATATATATATTTTTAAATGTAAATATATATTAAAAATGTTTTTAAATGTAAATATTATTTAAAAACATATTTTTAAATGTAAAAATATATTTAAAAACATATATTTTTAAATGTAAGTATATATTTAAAAATATGTTTTTAAATGTAAATATATATTTAAAAAAATAGTTTTTGCGGGGGTGTACCTGGGTGGCTCAGTCATTTAAACGTCTGACTCTTGATTTTGGCTTAGGTCATGATCTCATAGTTCATGAGTTTAAGTCCATGTCAGGCTTTGCACTAACAGTGTGGAGCCTGCTTGGGATTCTCTCTCCCTCTCTGCCTGCCCCTCCCCTCTCTCTGTCTCTCAAAAATAAATAAACATATATATTTTTTTAATAAATTTTTTTTTAGTAGGCTCCATACCAGTGTGGAGCCCAATGTGGGGCTTGAATTTACGTCCCTGAGATCAAGACCTGAGCTGAGATCACCTCAATTGTCATTGTCTCCCCAAATTAAGTGGGCTAGTATATATTTCTCAAAATTAAAGAATTAGGAGCTGCACAGATAAAACAGTCACTAAGATACTTTTCCAGATTTCATTATACTGAAAAGTTGCTTAACGCCAGATCTGGGATGCTAAATGCCGAGTCCAACATCAAACCAACAAGCCTCCACCAGTAAAACCAAGGTGCCCAGTACAGACTCCAAGTCTCATCATGTTTATTCCCTTGTCCAAAGGGCCAATGCTTAAAGACATCTTAGGTTTAGTCTTTTTCCTTAGGAGTTAAAAATTTTTTTTATGCTTATTTTTGAGGGAGAGAGAAAGAGTGCGAGTGGGGGAGGTGCAGAGAGAGAGAGAGAGAGAGAGAGAGAGAGAGGGAAACAGAATCCGAAACAGGCTCAAGAGAGAGAGAGAGAGAGAGAGAGAGAGAGAGAGAGAGAGAAACAGAATCTGAAACAGGCTCCAGGCTCTGAGCTGTCAGCACAGAGCCCAACTCGGGGCTCAAACTCACGAACCGTGAGATCATGACCTGAGCCAAAGTCGGATGCTCAACCAACTGAGCCACCCAGGCGCCCCCTCTTTTTGAGTTTAAAAGAATATGGTTGTAAATGAAATGAAATAACCTGTGCGGTTGTCTGCTTCTTCCATTCGGCGTGGAACCTCGAGTTTTGCCGGGACTGCGCCTTAGTGACTGTTGCTCTCCTAGTGTCTGTCCACACTGCCTGGCACTTAATAGAGCCTCAGAAATGCTTTCTGAACTAACCGCAACAGAAATGCACTCTCAGTTTGCTTACTTCTGTCAATGGATGATCATCCGATCAGTTGTAGGATAGAATCGACCAAATGGAACACACCTTCTGCCCCAATCCCTCTGGTTTTCCATTTCTTTCCTCAGGCATTAAATGCCTTATGCTCACAGATAAAAGTTCCTAGAGAGGGCCTTTTGGAAATTTGGTTTTTCCCCTTTTGTTTTTTCTCTTACCTAAAACTCATTTGTTCCTCTGTGCTATGTGTAAACCCCCTTGCTCCTATTTAAAGCAGCTTCAGAATTCCCAGGTTGCAAAGCTTGGGTTTAGGACTGTGGGACTCATGCATAGGTTTCATTTCAGAAATCAAGCCTAAACCTTTTCCTGCAAAGCCAGTGTGAATATCTGCACAGCTGGGAAACACCGGCTGCTGCATCTTTTTGAGCGCATTAAAGCACTCGGCACTTGGAGTCTGAAATGCTCACCTACTGTAAGCTGCACAGGCTTCTTCTGTGGGGGCTGGCCTCCGTAAAAGTACAGATCAAAGCGACGCTCCACTTTCCAGTCTGATAAGAGCTGCCTGTTTGTGCTAAAAAGGATGCTGGAATTTCCATTAATGTTGCATAGCCAAATAGGTAATTTGGGAGTCTTCAGCCTGCTGCCCACCTGGAAGGGAAGAGGGGAATGCAGATGAGGACAGAGATTTATGTTACATCGCGGCAGATACTGATGCATCATCATGATCAAAACACAGCTCCGAGGCGTCTTGTTGAGCTGGTCCGTGCAGGGCACTCTGCGTGCAATAAGGTTTGAAGTGAAGGCTTCCTTACGAACGAATGTGCCTGTGCCTGTATGAATGATGTGGTAGGGTGGTCATGCTGTTATTGGGTGGCCTCATGGGGAACATAGAACCGCCTCAGTTTGGTTTTGAAGTTAAGTAGAGAATAAATAAACTGAATTATAAGTGTACGGGTGGAATAAGAGGACTTCAATCTGTCTTTGTCATTGACTGGTGTATTTACTCCTATCCCCCAGATAGGACAGTATTTCATTCAGCAGGTGGTCAGACTTTTGGAAACCATTTAGAATATAGGAAAAAGAAAATATTTAGAATGCAAAAATATAGACTATTTTGAACATAGGAAATAGCTCCAGGGAAATGAAGGGAATACACACACACACACACACACACACACACACACACACACTCATGCATATATACACATATCTACATGTTAACATGGAGATCAAATGTGAAGATATACTTAGAGCTGAATATACTAGTTTAGCATCACAATAATATTAAATTTACTCTTTTAACTAGTTTATCTAGTTTTTCCAGGCAACTGTCAATTTAGCAACTCGTGAATTAGATGGACAAAAGTACTACTCTGACAGGCATAGCCTCTGAGTGATATTATAGTGCATTTCTATTTATGGTATCTGCCAGTTTGTTTAAAGAGGCAGGAAAGCACATATTTTTAAAGATTGCCATTAAAATTCATTAACGTTAAAAACTATTTTTTTTTCTACTTAGAGAAATAAGCCTGAGCTACATAGAAAAAAACCATCATTTTCATGTGATGCCAGGGAAAGCTATGGACCTTCAGCCTTGGTGTGGCTACCCATAATGGAAGGATCTGATTCTGCTTCTTTTCTTCTCAGTCCTTAGAGTTGTACTGTGTGTTCAGGAACAGATTCTGTTTTATGGAAAATCCAGCTTTGAAAAATTATCACGTTTCATAAACCCAAGTATTAAAGGCTAATAACTTGACATTTTGATTTCTCAATAGTTCTATTCAAATCTCTTCGTTTTGCTTTAGTTTAAATTCTTCAGTTGTGGGTGAGTGGGTGAATCAGAGATGCTTTTGTCTTTAAGGTTTTCACTTTTAGCTACCATAGAAAAATTATATTACTGTGTTTGAAAGACAAGAGTTCAGTTTTAGTGAATAATTTAAAAAAGGGTTGCAAGCCTAGCATCCCAATTTGGACATGATCATTGTAGGTGCAGGATTTGCTTATCTAGTCTCATTAGAATTAGCCCCTCTGGGCTGAGTGTAATATGAGAATCTCACATATCTAACGGGCAAGTCGCCCACTGGCTACATTGGAAATAAAACACAGAGGATATGCCCTTGAAGCAGCCGAATGCGTTTACGTTCCAAGATTCCACCCACAAGTTGCAAATAACATTGCAACCATTCATTAGTTATAAAATAAGCACTTTCTTTCTTAGACCTTTTTGCCATGGTACCTTAGGTCCTCAGTTTATATGGAATCAAAATATGATCTACAGGACATGGAAGTATGAAGGTTGGAAAACTTGGATAAACTAATTGGGAAATTGAGGGCTATTTGGAATAAAATGTCACTTATTTTGAAAGTCAAAAGAATGGTATTTTGGGTGATCTTACCCCAATGAAAGTTCCTGTAAATTGTGTCTAGGTGGAGGCAATAGAATATAGACATGTATGACATTGGAGTTTTTGTAACGTAGGCAAAAATCAACTGGCACTCAGGTGACACTCGGCAATGTGCTGACAGCACACTATTGTTACTTTATGCAACAATGCAACAGTTTTCTGAACTCACAGCTCCTCAAGATTTTATTAGAGGAGGAGGAAAATGAAGTAGTTATAAATACAACAGTCTCCAGCTCCCAAAGTAACCATACAGAGACTCCACACTGAGCAAGCAGAGCCTTCCTTACTTGCCTTGAGAGATGCCGGTGAAAAGGAAAATGTCATGCACGACTGTCAAGGCAGTGTAGGTATTAACTCTAAGAGGCAAGCCTTAAGATTACGGCTGAGAACACACCTGGTTTAAAGTGAATTCTGTAGGGGCGCGTTAGGTGGCTCAGTCAGAAGGGTCCAACTCTTGATCTCAGCTCAGGTCACGATCTCACAGTTTGTGGGTTTGAGCCCCACACTGGGCTCTGGGCTGACAGTGCAGAGCCTTCTTGGGATTCTCTCCCTCCCTCTCTCTCTCTGCCACCCCTCTCAAAATGAATAAATAAACTAAAAAAAAAAAAAAAAAAAAAAAAAAAAGTGATTCCTGCAAAAACAAAGCCAAGCACCTCCTGTTTGAATCCAGCCAAGTATATATCCCCTTCTTTTCTTTTTTTTAAAGCTTATTTATTTTTGAGAGAAAGAGAGACAGAACATGAGCTGAAGAGGGGAAGAGAGAGAGAGAGAGGGAGACACAGAATCCGAAGCGGGCTCCAGGCTCCGAGCTCTCAGCACAGAGCCCCACGCGAGGCTTGAACCCACCAGCCGTGAGATCATGACCTGAGCCGAAGTCAGAGGCTCAACCCATTGAGCCACCCAGATGCCCCATCCCCTTCTTTTCTTAGCTTACCACATTATGTGTTTGACTGGAACGTTCAATTAAGAATTTGTATTGCTTCTGGGTAGACGGTTTATCAGCTACCCCCAGCCCCAAAAGCAGCATTCTAAATATGTTTTATTGGTGAGATTCCCCAAATGCAGAATTTGTGCATGTTGCCTCATGTTGCTATGGTAAAAAGGAAATTAACTTGTGATACAGTAGTGCTATAAATAAAATACCTTTCTCCGTAAGTTCACTCATTGTATAATAAGCCCAAGAGGTTTAGCATTACATCCAGCAATGAAGCCTTTCCTAACATGTATCATTTAAGCCAGTGTAAAATTACAAGGACAGGACGAGGGATGGACAAATTCTAAACACTACAGGGCAAGGATTGAGTCCGTGTAATTCTTTTTTTTTTTTTTTTTAACGCCTTCTAGAACAATGGTGCTTACAATGTGCTTTTGCATAATGAGCTTGATATTGAGAGTCCCAAGGGTCCAGTCTGGTAATTGGAACGGGAGGAAGGTGTTGGAAATTTGTGCTTTCTGCCCTGATTCCTGGTGGAGATTCGCGTGCACGAGTGGTCTGGCTCTCGTCTCTGCACCTGGAACACAAAGTTGATGTAACTTCCTTCAGCGAGTGTGCAGGTAGGTCGTCGTGTTCGCAGGGTCAGCACCTTAGCGATAGAGCGCCGTGGGTGGAGCTTCACGTGGTGGGTGGAGCTTCACGTGGTACTTCTGTGGTTGGATTTCTTCCTACCGGTCCCTTTAAAGGGAATTTCGAGAGGACAGAGGCTACGGCGGGGATAGTGGTACCCTGTGCCACGGCTACCAGGGGAGTAATTCCAGCAAGACCTAAATGGCTTCAGTCCCTTCTAAAAATCAGAGTTGGTTTTTTCTTCTCCGAGGCAGGTGCGAAGATAATGCGAACCTCCTAAGGCTTTCCAGATGGTGTTAGACTCAAACTGCTTTATGTTCTCACTTAGGTATTGGAACCTCACACTCCAACCTGTACCTTCAAATAGAAAAGTGACGGGAGGCTTCGAAATAGTGCCTCATCTTGTAGGTAGCTGGCTGCGTTCCGTAAGAACTGTCAGTCTGGTGGGCTCTGGGGGGGGCTTGCCGTGTCATCTAATGAGAACTCCTTTTTTTTTTTTTTTTTTTTTTTTTTTTAAAATCGCACCCACTGGGTTGTGACATTGGGACTGAAAGACATGTGTTTTTGCAGCCTCTGCAATTTTATCCCAGAGTAAGGAGAGATTTACTTTAGGAAGACAGACACAGCATTTACAGGATGGGTTTCACCAGGACAGCAGAATCTGTTGGCATGCTGGTTTTCTTTTGAACTCGGAAACCTTTCTTACGGATTTTTATTATCAGTGGATACATATAATCCGCTGATATGAAGCACGTAGCCTAGGCAGGAGCCCCTAAATACCCATAAAGTGCTTATGTACCCAGTGGGCACATTCATGAATCCTCTGTGGAGGGGTTACCCTACTCAGAGAAGAAAGGAAGGCGAGTGGCTGTGGGGGTCTTCAATCCAGTGAGCCGGAGAGCACTGTTCTAGAACCACATCTAGTTCTTTCTTTTTTTAGTATACGCGCTGCCGAAGCGAGCACATATCTGGTTCTTTCTTGAGCAGACTTTTGTTCAGGTCTAGGGCAGAGGACTTTGAACTATCAGACTTCTGGATACACCACAGTCACGTGGGTCCTCTGGTTAGCATGACTCTGAGTCCCACCGAGCTTGTCCTTCCGGACACACATTTGACGGACGGGGCCTGCCAAACCGGCAGGTGAAGGGGAGCAGCTACTTTTCAGACTGTGCCCCAAGTACAGGTAGTCCACGATCAACCTAAGCAAGTGCTTTAACACAGAAGTCCACGTAAGAAGCTCTAGCTTGTTGAGTCCTGCCTTCTAAACCCTAGCTGTGCTTTTGCCACCATCTAAATGTTAGAGTCTAACATCTGTGTACCTACAATAGATGTTACAGGTGATGTCCTACAAATAAGTCTACATCTATATGTAAGTACATAGATACGATAGATTATAAAAGCACTTAGGATGGAATATAATTCTAACAACTGGCACTTTGTATTTATCACTCTATCAGAAGACGAGAAAAGATAACGACAGGCAGCATGGCACAGTGGGCAGAGTGCGGACACCAGCTCTGATGCCTAGCGGGTGGCCATGGGCAAGTTCCCACACCTTTCTCAGCCCAGATTTTCTCGTATTTAAAATGAACGGTCAAACAACAGACGCTTGACTAAACCTAACACTTACACCTTTGAGTAGGAGTGAGGATTAAATGAAATAAGGCGTCATTGCAGTG